GTTGTTATTTGTATGTTTTTATCATTTGAACGCAATTTTTATTACAATGTAATAGCAGTTTACTCGCAACTGAAATGAAACTACGTGTAATGGAAGTACAGTGATAAATATATTCCTCTGCAATCAGTCTACAGTTGATCGGGATATTTTAATAACATTGTTTAAGCAGAAAACCAGGTGATGTAAATCCAGTATGAATACTAACTTACCACTGAAAGATCCTGATTAATGATAACAATTACTTTTTATAATAATTAGCTTTATGGTAAGTAACCGTTATTGTGAAAGAATCATGTCAAACTAGTGTGAAACATTGGTTTATTTCAATTGTTTCGTTAGTTTCAAATTTAATGTTAATTTAGTAATCCAATTAATATCCTTAAACCTCTTGTTGTCATTAAAATTATTTTTTTGAAATTGTATTATTACTGACAGTTTTCATCCCTTATGATCGTTGATTAAATAAGCAATGAAAAATCTTATATCATCATCTCTTCATACAATGCTTGTAACTTAAGGCAATATCTAGACAACTCGCATAGGATTTATATATGTCAATAAGAGACTGATCAATTGCAGTTTTAAACAACAATCGGAAGATTTAAACAACCGACACGAAAACTCTTATATATTTAAATTAACATAAAAATAATTCAATTGGGAAATCCATAATTAAAACTGGTTAATAATTAAAAAAATAATTCACTAATTAAATAGATAAATAAATAATAAATCGTATTGAAATTTTAATTATTTTCTTGATCTTTTAGTCAAATGACACTTCATTGATGTAAACAAAGAAGTTTAATTAAAATAGTAAAGAAAGAGATATATTATGTTAATAGAGACAATTCATAGTGTAAGTGATAAACTATATATTTGACTGTTCTGTTGAATAAATAATGAACCAACGTATAGCGAATAACAATAGTTGAAATTACAAGTCAATTGAAGCTAGACCATCATGGAAAACCTGGAAGCACTGGACGGCCGTTTCGTCCTATTGTGGGACCCCTCAGCATTGCGTATCAACAATCCCGACCCCCGTGAGACTCCAACCCAAGACCTATCAGTCTCAGGCGTAGTGAATAAACAAATATTGTGTGCAAACTTTCTTTTTAGTATAGGAGTGCTTTGAATGGTAATGAAGTTCTTGTGAGAATCAGTGACCAGTGGAGTTTAACCGGGTCTGTTGTCAGATAATAACTCACTGATGACAAATGGTGGATGTGTTGCTCAATTTTGTGGATTATTTGAAGTTAGAAAATAACACCGTTGGATGCCACTGGTTTAGTGGTTAAGCTCTCGTGCGCAAGATGTCGATAGATGCTGTGTTGGAATCTCGTGAGGCGTGATCGTGGATGTGCACTACTGAGAAGTCTCACAACGGGACGAGAGAATCGTCTAGTGTTTCCAAGTTTTCCATGATGATCTAGCTTTGATTGACTCATGATCACAACTATTGTCATATTTCACATTAATTCGCATTATCAATGAAAAACCATTCATGTTATGCATTTTTTGGATATCCAAATATATTAATGATCACTACAGTATTATACTGAGATGTGTGCTACTTATGTTGACAGATATAAGTATTATGTATCACAAATCGAAAGTGTAATTCCTGCAAGCAGAAGGTTGAGAAGACTGAAAAGAAGAGAAAGAGAACAGAGGGTGATTGGTGTAGAAACAAAAGAACAGTGAAATCTGAGACTATTGGTTGATACTTGCAAAGGGGAACAGTCAAGTTTGAGACAATTGATTAGCATTTTGCAAATGAAGTATTTACTTTATGGTTCTCAGATTTTACTATGATGTTTTGTAATTTTGTATACAAACACATTTGACTGTCCTCACATTTTTTTCTTGTCCACGACAATACCAAATACAAAACTGTAAATTAGCATAAAGTTAACATTTCAGCTGGAATCATTTTTATCGCTATCGTATTTATGTGGTGTTAAGTAAAATAATGAGAAATCTGTGGTTAACAAAAGTGAGTTATACAATGTGGTAGTATTTAGTATTTTGGTGACAATATATACTTCTTAAATAAGTAATTTATTAGTCTAAACTTACGTTTTTCGTATATAGGAGTGTAAGAACTTAAGGTTTCTTCCTTCAGGTAAATATTAATTCTAAATACTCAGTCTTTGGAATCCCAAAATGTATGCTTTCAACAGGTTGACACCTAACTTATTCATATTCGATCGCTTGGTGATTCATATGTGGCAATGTTAAACTTTTTATATAAGTAAAATTACTACTTCATCTGGTAATGCCTTTGCGGAAAAATACATTTTACTAAGTTCAGGTAGCTACTTTTCGGACTAAAAAATTTTACGGTATTTTTGGTACTTTTGTCATGAGTATTTCCGTCTTTGGTTTGCACAGTGGGAATTTTCAAGTATGAATCCTAACCCATACAGTCTTAAAAGTATCATTACACTAAACATTTTTAGTTCCTAATATTGGTAATATTAGTGACTAAGACAGTCTACTGGTGTCTATAAAACTCTTTTTGTTGTTTTTAAAAAAAACAGTGCCATTTAAGTATTTTAGCTTTCAATGTTCTGATGCCATGTTACTAGTGGAAACACTGACATCTCAAGCCACTCATATGATGAATTTTTTTTGATGAACAATTTGAAGCCCATTTGTGATGATCGAATTAACTCTTACTGATCAACACACAAATCATTCTACTGATACCTAAATATCAGTGGACTTGAAAAAGAATCAAATGTGCTAATTATGAGAGAACTGGACATATTTTTGTTTGGATTCCATTTCTCAGTTGTTTTTATCCTGTTGTTTTGTAGGATTCTGTAGAGATCCATTGGCATTACATTGCAAAATTATGCCTATTAGTGGTCTTCTTACATACCTACTAACTGTTCTTCTGTTTCGATACCTAATCAGGTCCTATGAATAGCATACTTTACATAATGAGTGAAAGGAATTAAATATGTAAAAATAAAACTTTTTTCAGTACATAAGCAAAGAAATGGAGTCATACTAACACACATCTTGGCAGTATCATCAGTATTTTAGTAATGATGATTGGTCATTGATATTTTACTCTAGTAGTCAGTTTTTCTTCATCAGCAACAATTTAAAATGTGGATAAAATACTGTTGGATAAGTTTTAATAACGGACACTACTCAGTTATAAGATGAATCCACTATTTGTATATTTCATAAGCAACAGTTTGTACAGATATTGTGATGCAAGAAAATCTGATTTATTATAACTTGGAAAATCATCAGTCAAAATGTTCTGAAATCTTTAAATTAAGGTACGAATATTCATTGAATCTTCTAAGCATTATCAGAACTAATTGATAAACAAGATGGACACCTAACTGAAATGTACTCAAAGTTCATAAATCAACACTAAAAAACGATGGATAACAAATTAAGATGTCTTGAGATATATTTGCTTTTCGGTATTAGGTTCCAGGTTATGGATTGCAAAAAGAACGCTTTATTTAGTTTATAAGGAAGAACAGTAGATTAATGATGATCACTCAAGACATCTAACAGGTAAAAGAACATTCCATTAAAAGTACAATCAAAGAAAATGAACAAAACTGATCATTTCACTCTAGCTCTTGGAAATTTCAAAAAACCTAACAAAATTAAAGTATACGAGTACTACCTGATTTTTTGATTGAACAGATGTTTGTATATAGCAGTCAGGAGTAGTACGTCATATTAACTGAGGCAACAGTTGATTCATCGTTTTCAGAAATTGTTCATGGACATTAATCAGAGACGTATATCATTTCAACTAATAAAAATTTATCGTATATTTATAGAATTTAGCAAAATCACTACAGACGGGCTTTATACATATAAGAGCAACATTTGATGCAAATATGATGAGTTAGACAATAAAGATTTCGAAGCTCTTTAGATCAAAATAAGTAGGCTGATTGTCGAGATTAGTAATACATAGTTAGCTGATCCACGCACTTATAAGAAAAATGGAGATAATGTCAAGCCAATCTCTGAAGGGATCATTTGTACATTGGGTTGACTAGTAGAACGAAGGATCCATCTCTTAGGATCTCATCCTGTTACTGAAAACCTTATGTAGAATGATTGCACATTTAAAGGGTTTTTTGTGCTTTTGAAATCAAGTTGCGATAACCGTGTGAATTATTTTACTTTATTTTTTCACTCATATTGTTTCTGTGCCAGGTATCATTGTTTGTCAATAGGACAAATATAAATTTTTGTGCCCAATAAACATTACACATACATGTTTTGTTTGAATGGCACATCTAAGGTCCTCTATGTGGTTTTGCTAATTACTTACTATGAGATTGATTTTTAATTTGACAATAATTGCGTTAAACAACACCCACTAATATGATTGGACACTAAGTAGAAACCCTAAAAAAATTTTTATATTGTGTAAGATGTTTGATCACCTGCATTGTACCTTTTCTTCTAACGATAGTTACCTAATTGATCGGCGTTTGAATTATCTAACGTTATACAACATAATTTGTTTGATGAATTCAATATTTTCTACTAAGTTGAGCTATAAAAATATCATACATAAATTTTGTAATAACAGATTTGGGAAGTTTTATTATTTGTTAAAGTATATTCATTCATTTACAGTATTTTTTGATACAAGTACCTAAATTGGTACAGATTAGTGTATTCAACTATGAACCATATATAATGGAATAATTAATTGATACTCTACAGTTGTCCAAACTCCAGTAGACCAACCGTCAGTATGACTAATCATGTGTCACATTGAATTCAAGTATTTTGACTTTATTCTACCTGTACTAAAATACTTATTAGTACTATATCTTTGCTAGTGAACACCTTATTGAAATAATTAAATTTCTCTATATTTTTAATAACAAAATTGATCTAATTTTGTACACTACACAGTAAACTTATAAATTATTAAATTGATCAACCGCGGTTTTTAGACTTAAACACTAAAATTTGGTTGATTATACTCATATTTTAATTTCTACATTTAATACTACTTTAAAATATCAGTAAACCTTTGAATATAAACAATTTTTGTTCTATTGTTTTAATTTCTAATTGATCCCATTTAACTATTAAAACACAGTACAAACTTCAATTGTTTCGTTCATTCTGTTTTATTTTCTCTACTAAAGTTGATTATTTAACATGAATATAACTAAAATCAAATTATTAAATATTTCGCAAAGACAAAAAAAGAATGATTATTTTTATTAATTGAAATAAAGATAAGGGTAATGGAAAAAAATAAAAGAAGAGAAATGGAGTATAAAAGAAAAAAAGGGTAATCGAGAATAGAATGTGAAATGAAGTTTTTACCTCTGTTTTCTTTCTGAATAATTTTACAGATGCTAATAAAAATTGAAAACTATTAAACAGTCTATCTGTTGCTTTAAATATATACGTATATTGAAAAGAGAAGTCAATTTTCGGTTAATTCAATTAGAAAGGTTGTGTGTTAGTGACATATTAAAGAAAAAAACTGAATTTCTGATTACACATAATTGAATAGAATTAATCGTGTATGATTTTTTTTAATAGTAATAATAATAATAATAGTAATGTAAACATAACCTAAAATAATTGTCTCGTAGAACGACTATATGCAGTATATATATTTTTATTGAAGAGTAAGGCGTGTAAACAAAACACATCTATGTGTCCATGTATGTATGTATGTGTGTGTGTGGGTATAGCTGTATATTCGAACATTCTTCTGTGAAATTTCTCTGATATATTATTTGTCAAGTTTTTTTGAACAATTGGAATTATATGAGCATTTCTAGTGGATTTATTTAAGATTTTCGGTCGGGTAACATGTATTTATAGCAGCGGTGAGGAATATAAAAGTAGGGATTGAGATGAATTTACTATATTCACGTTATTTAATGAAATGATAGTAAGAATAATATTTGAAATAATATTTTTTATTACCCGACCTTGCTACTACTATACGGCATTTGTTCCTCGATTAACATTCTCCAAAAATCTATTGATATCTTCTTCAGTGCCAGTAATTTTAGCATGTCTATAATTACTCCATAATGTTGCTGTTACATCCAAAGCAATTAAATCACTAGAAACCCTGGAAACAACTTGTAATATTAGTACACCATCTGGACCAAGATTATAATTTACAAATCGTGTACAATCTCTTTCTTCAGTATTGGAAAGTTGTCGAATAGCTCGAATATATTGTTTTATATAAGCTATTCGTCTAACTGGTACAAGTGTGTTGAAAGCCCATTGAAGTGTACTTAATATGGTGACAATTGAAAGAATCACAAACCAGAACCATAGAAAGACATATACTTTTTCCACAAAATAATTAATTGGCAATACACATTGAAGAGTATAGCTGTTAAAAAAAGGAAAACAAAAGAAATAAAATGCGTGAAAAAACGAATAATTTAGCATGCATCAAAACTATTTGAATATCTAATTTTTCAAAATTATATGAACAAGTACAAATACAATGAAATTTTAATTGAGACTATGAAGTGGTCAGTATTAGAGTATCATTGAAAATCTAGATGCATTGAGCGGCCGTTTTGTCATAGTATGAAACTCCTCAGCAGTATACATCCACGATCCCGCACGTGATACTTGAATCCTAAAGATTGTACTACTTTCTGCATCATTTACCAAATGAATTACGAAAAAGAAGCAAAAGCTAGGTTTAATTCTCTTTCTTCTAATAAGCGTTTAACCTTCATACTTCATTAAACTCGTCAAGAATGATCATTAAATTAGAATGGAATAACTATAGGGTGCTTCTTTAATTTTCAGCAATGCTTTTTCTCATTAAAATGAGCATGAGAGACCATCTATTCAAAAGTATTTTATTTTTTAGGTGGATTACTTGGCTTCTGAATAGACTATATTCTTGGATGAATAAGTTTTCACTACTTACTTCCGTTATGCAAGCATGTAAAGAATGAATGGTTGAGTTCAGTAATAATAGTTCTCAAAAATACCAACACGTCTTGTAGACAATATAAGTTAGCTTACTCAATAATTGAAATGAAACCAATAAATTGGGACAGGGCTGTTTAACTGATTAGTATATTAACCGTATACATAGAACAATTGTAAGCAGTAATTTCATCCTTGCAGCGTGTAAGATTAACTTGTCAGTCATTTAACATCCATTGTTTTGTCATCTATAATGATTCCCAAAGTAAACGTTTTCAATTCAAAGCGAGTAAGCGACAGTGATGTCAGTGAATATGCAAATGTCACACTGACAATTAATTTGCTTCTTTAAATCTAAACCTAACTCCTACAAGTACTTTTTGCTATCGCTTTGACCGTCTTATTAAATTTTGAATCTCCAACGCTTAATTTTATCGCTTTTCAAATTATAAGTACTATTTATATTGTAATCCATCAATGGTTTACTTTCCATGAGAACTTGGCAGCTTTCAGTTTTTAGAAATGGATGCACATGTTAACAGTCGAGATAGACTGCATCAAGTGCATCACTATTGTTTAATTTTACGGCTGATATTCACTGTAAGCTAACTCCATCACAGAATGTTATTTTAATCATTACTTCTTGTCAGGCTCTTAGAAACTTCGGTTATCGCGTAGAAACGTAAGCATTTCCATTGTTTAGTATGATAATAAAATGCAATCTTATAAAACCATTCCGATTGATTAAACCATACATAAGATATGTAATTACGCTAAGGTGGTGAAAATACGTGAAAATTCCATCCTCCAGAAACTCAGTAAGCCTATTAATATCTAAGGATTTTTTTATACTGTCTCTATTGCAAAGTTGTATTTGACATATTATCCACTGAGATTATTTTCACCTGCCGTAAATTACAGTTAGTTAATCACATACTTTTTATTCAGTTCAGTATCGTAAATGTCCTAGTTTATTGAGAATTGTTATTTATGATGAGTTATCATTGTTTTTTACATATAATTAAATGGTTTTTAGTGTTTTAATAATGAGGGTTAGTGCGAGACGTTTATTTAATTATACTGGTATTCTGACTAGTAATTTAGGTGGGTTTGGCGGGTTGAAATAGTTAATGGGCTATCGTTCGGTATCTAAAGTGTAAATGGAGAGAATAAGACAAAAATTCACAAAAATGTTCTAAATAGATAAATTACTCGTCGGGTATTTAAATACCTGCCTTTCTATGTTGTAAAACCTTATTTCCACGTTTGTTCATTGGGATATAAAACTTAACCTAACAACCGTAAGTTTACTACCTACAATAAAGATGATGAAAGTGGTAGTTTATTGCTTGAACACAAGTCTGAAACAATTTATCTGATACGCTACTTATATAGACCTTTAAAAATTTATAATCGCCTTTCTGTAATCATTCATTGCTCTACGTTTAAGATAGAAGGAGAAAAAATACTGAATTAACTAGATCAATGTTAAACATGACGGTTTTTTCCAAGTACTTAACTAAATCAAAACCAAAAAATATTGATAAAATCAATAAATTCACTTTTAGCTAAAATGAAAATTATTTTATGTGCTTCATAAGAATTAATTAAATTTTCATAATACACTACTTTACGTTCACAAACATACAACAAACAGAATTAAAGCGAGATTTATATAAATTTTGTTCAAGAAAATCAGGAAGTGTTTACTGCTGTTCAGTTATCGAGATAATTCTCCCTTGGGCATTGTTTATATATATATATATATATATATATATATATATATATATATATATCATTTTGAAGGGAATTCTGCATTTGAGTGATATCAAAATACAGTTTTTACATTTACAAATCGGCATATATTTATGCATCTATTTATCTTTAGAAATTTAATATAATTTTGACTATCGTTTGTTCACTTTCTTACAAACATCAATAATCAATTAAAAATTAATTTTTCATTTTTGATTTCTATGCCTAAAACTGTAATGTTTTTATTAGATACATTTAATAATAGTCGATTATAAATTTTTGAGTTCCATTGTGATCTAAATATGTTTAACACTGAACCATTGTGAATACATGGTGATCAGTCAGAATGAAATAATTATGCTAAAAGTTTAATCATGAAATGAAGGCAGGTTATTTGAAAATTAATGTAAGATTTGTTCACGATAGACTCATCTTAATTAATAGTAAATACCAAAACACAAAGGGTAACACAGTGATTTTATATGATAATTATACAGCTAAGGTATACCAAAAAAATTTGTTGTATACTTGAATTTTGATACTAATCAGTATCAAATAATATATGACATGATATCGAAGTTACCGTAAAGCGGAGTGAGTATGCTAACATTATTATAGCTGCAATCAGAGACATTAACAATACTAGGAATACAAAACTCGAAAAGACGATCCGGAGTTATCTCATTTATTTACAGGTTGAGGAGAAAAATATTTGAAGTGAAGTATATCTTGATCTCAAATTCTGGATTATCAATATATATATATATATATATATATATATATAATATCGAAATTTGTTTAATTTATTTTTTTATCAGTATAGGGATATGGAGGACCATGAATCGATCAATTTTAGACCACCATTGAAACCTAGTATGCGACTCCTCAGCAGCGTACACCCACGATTCCTTACACGCGATCCGCCTTGTCGGATGTGAGACAGTTACTCACCAAATATAATCGAAGATGATCACTTAATATCGTGGATTAGTTGAAGTTAATCACTAACGCTGATGAATCAATGATGTAAAGGTTGAGCGCACGCGCCAGGTCAAAGGTCCCAGGTTTGAGTTCAACGTGTGAGGTTTCGGATGAGTTCTGCTGAGGAGATCTATCCTTGAACGAATCGGCTGTCTAGTGCTTCCATGTTTTCAATGGTGGTATAACATTGATTGGTTCATGATCTCAATTATTTAATTGTATTTTTAAAAGCTAGAGAGTGCTAGGACTTTAATCATCGGGCTATCGATCTATACCAAATATATACAATGAGTAAAACAATTGCAAAATGATTGTTAAGTCATAATCGGTTTACGTTAAAGTTTGTGAGCGTTAAGTACAACGAAATTATATAAATTCACTTCAATAATTCTATCCATATTGCTGTTGTAGAAAAATATTTTATTCAAAATATTTATGAACATTGACCTTAGAATTATTTCACATAATATGAAACAAACAGATAATTATAAACATATGTTGGTAATCTGTGTTAAAGTATGGAAACTTAAATAATAACAGAATGTAACAAAAACTATAAAGTTGTTGGAAAGTTTTGTTAATCTCGATAATAAAAATGATAAGATCGACGTTTTTGAGACTACTTCTTTTTACTTATGAAGCATGTCTAAGTAATTTCCGTAAAATTATTCTAATGATGAAACGTAAATTCTTTTAACTATTGTGCCATTGATGTTAATTACTAAACACTTGACTGACTTTCAAATTCAATGGCTATTGCTTTGCAACCAGAAAACATGGCCCTCTTTTCGCTATTCTTTATACTGAAAGTTGTGTATGTTGCTTACTTCGTAGTTTTACTTCAAGGATTGATTTTAATCAATTAAATAGAAAAATCAGGAAACAGTGGACTATTCTGTTTTAAACGATTATGTCTGTTTAACACTTGTAAAGTTTGTTACATATCTTATCAGTTTTCTCTGTAATCTGTCCATAAGTTTCTATATACTTTGTATGTAAAATGTTGAGCCCTTTAACTATCATTATTTCAAGCATTCTCATTAAGTTTGAAGTAATCTCATAGATGATTAGACTTTTTAAAATGTGATTAGACTTTTTATTTTATTGTCGGATATGATGTTCGTTTATTAGTACAAGTCAATGTTGAGAACCTTAATAACAAGAAATATTTCTCGCCTGACCATGTTTTTTTTACCAATGAATGTTAGAAAGTGTTTTAAACACCAAGATAATACGAATGAAATTGTGAAAAGTAGTTCTATTATTAATTGAATTCTGGAACTAAACATACACTAAATATTGCAAGGAAAAGTATTGTATTCTGTTAACTGTTATGTTACTTAGAGGTTAGGGTTTAGATTACGCCTCAATTAAATTCCCTAGTCAGTTTGACAAATTAAGATCAGTATATGAACTGGTTTTCTAAAACAATTGTATGTGCAGTTATATTTTATTCCACCAATCAACCGAATCCTCACAATTTACTCAGCTATTCGGTCAGTAACAACGTGAAACTTCGTACGTACGTACATCAGTTTGAGTTGCCATACCACACTAGCACAGAGATAGTGAAAGTATAAACAGTGTTAGGGAACACTAGGATTTGATGATGTTATTCAAGGAGTACAATCCAGTGGAATAAATTTGGAAAGAGGAAAAAAGGTACATGAATAATTCAGAAGATTAGAATTTGGGAGAACACAAAGA